ATGCGAACGGCCGCAGAGGCGGCCACGGCATGGCGAAGCCCGGCAGCAGCAGCGGCGGCGAGGGCAGCTTCAACAAGGTCAAAGACGTCGTGCCCTCGGCCAGCGGCTCCTCGCTCGTCCCCTCTGGCGATCCAATCCCGTTTCCGAGCGGCGGCGAGATCGACGACGACGACCTGCCGGCGGCGCAAGGGGTGTCCGGGGGGGCCGACGTCGACCTCGACGTCGTCGATGAGACGGACGAGGACGAGCGCGGCGACGATGCAGCAAGGTACTCGACGACGAGGGAGGCGTCACCCACGACAAGGTCTGCGCGCGATTTGGATGGCGATGTAGGCGATCGAGCCGGCGACAGGGCGACTTCCTACGGGCGACGTCCACGCACGACGGGGGGCGGCCAGGGCGCCGGCACCGCCGCGGCGACGGCATCGGCACGACACGGCAGCAGCGGGGTCGAGGAAGGCTTCACGCTCTTCTACACGTCTGCCAAGACGGGCGAAAACGTGGAGCGCATGTTTCGGCACGTTGTGGACCGCGTCGTGGCGAGATGGGTCGACGAGGAAGCCGAGATGCAGTCGGCCGCCGCCGGGGGCGAGGAGGGGGAAGGGCTAATGGTGGCGCCGCCGAGCGATCGGCAGAGGGAAGAGGAGCTGGTGAGGAGGGGCATCCGGATCGCGGCGGGTAAAGATCCGAATCCGAGGAGGGGTTGGAGGGCGTGCTGCACCTGATCCGCCCCCCCTGCTCCCCATCCCTTTTTGCTGCAAGGCTTGATAGAAACACGCACACCTGTCACGATTCCTAGACGAACGTTCTCCCGACACGAGACGACACGAGACGAGACGACCCGACCCGACCCTTTTGCCGTCATGCACGCCCCTGTTACGACCTCGACTGATCGATCACGGCTCGATTGTGGTTGCTTTCGACAATGGTCGGATTGCGCTGCGAAAGACGAGGCTTTGAACGGCATCACGCGCGGTACGTACATACATGGGTGCCCAGGCTATTTGCCCAAGCACCGCCATCTCCTGCTCCTCCTCCTGCTCCTCCTGCTCCTCGTTTTTGGAATGCGTTTCCAGCCGCCCTTCACCGCCGAGCGAGTCACTGGGCCAAGGGGTCTCGACAAAGGCGTCTCGAGCACTGGCCGATGCAATGCGGTGCAAAGACGGGCGTTGCGGTGCAGAGACGGGCGATGCGGTGCAAAGACGGGCGATGCGTTGCAAAGACGGGCGATCAGAGCTTGAACTCGGACTTGGCGTACTGGGTCGTCTTGCTGGCGGCGTGGTCGGTGAAGTAGTAGATGTCGCCGGGCGGGCTTGGTCTGACTCTGCTGGCGGGCAGGCCGAGTTCGGGCTGGTCGAGGCACTTGCTGAGCATCTCCTGCTTGCCCTCGCCGGCGAGGACGAAGGCGACGCGGTGGGCGTGGTTGAGGACGGGGTAGGTAAAGGTGATGCGGCGTGGTGGGGGCTTGGGCGAGTCCTCGATGGGCGCCACCCACCGGTCCTGCTCGGTCAGGAGCTCGTGGCCGGGGAAGAGGGAGCACGTGTGTCCGTCGGGGCCCATGCCGAGGAGGATGAGGTCAAAGACGGGGTTGCGCACCGCCTCCTTGCCCGCAAAGGCCTGCACCAGCTGCTTTTCGTAGGCGTCCGACAGCTCCTCGGCATCGTCGAGGAGCGACTCGTCAATCGTGTGGATCTGCGATCGCTTCAGCTCCGGCACCTTGCTGAAGAACTCCTGGTGGCACAGCTGGTAGTTGGAGTCCTCGTGGTCCAGCGGGACGAGGCGCTCGTCGGCAAAGAAGATTTCCCTGGAGAGAAGAAAGGAGCGGGCAACGACGTCGTGGATCAGCACCCAAGGCTGATGCAGCGGCAAGCAGCAGCACCATCGTCGCCCTCATCTGCTACGCACCACTTGTCCCATCGGAGCGCATTGTCGGTGCGGCCGACGAGGTATTTTGCGAGCATCTTTGGCAGCGAGCCGCCCGACGTGGCGAGGGTGAACTTGTTTCGCCTCTCGATGGCATCGTTCTGGGCCTGCAGTCGCAGTTTCGGAGCAGCAGCACGGGAGAGGCAGGGTCAGCATTGCGCCTACAGCGCCAGCAGGGAGAGGTTGAGGGATGGCCATGGCCGAGCGCACCTTGATGACAAAGTCGGCGAGCTTCTTGCTGAGGTCGTCGCTGCTGTCGAAGCTGTAGAGGATGGGGGGGAGCCGGCTTCTGGCTGGGAGCGTTGGGTTCGATGGGAGCCATTGTGAGCGAGTTGCGTTGCTGCTGTGGCAAGGTGAGAGATGGGGATGATTGGATGGTGGTGGTGGTAGCGGTCGAGCAGCGAACCGGGATCGACAGACGGATGCTCTCCCGTCGACGTCGACCGAGGCGGCAGCGGCGGCGGGCAGACGGCTGCTGGAAATTCCTGGAACGCGCCCAAAGTGGAGACCTCTCTGTCTGTCTCTCTCTCTGTTTGCGGGCGCGGGCGGTGCAGGCGATGATGGCCGCCCGCCAACCGGACGAGGCAGCAGCAGCAGCCCGGCAGCCAGAGACTAGGCCTGGCCAGGCCGCTCGACGACGAGGGCACGGACGAACCCTGACCTGCCCACCTACCGGTACCTCTGACGCAGGCCAGATTGCGTCAAGCCGCACCACGCTCCGTCCGCGCCGTCAGGCCAGACCCAGAGGCCCCACGTTTTGCCTGGTGTGATCGCCTCGCCCTGCTGATCCCAACAGGTACCTCGCACCTCGCACCTGGCTGGCCCTCCTGTCTCGACGCCCGGAGTACCACTGCCCATCGCGCCCGCCCATCCTCACGACCAGATCAAGCAAGCTAGGTAGCACAAGGATGGCCCCACCGGGTCCGGCTTTCCGGCGGCTCAGTGGGAAGCTCACTCAGGCTGATTGCAATCGATCCGATGCACCGAGTGCCATGACTCATCGGGAGCGGGGCCGGGCGACGATGCTGCCCTGCCTGGCCTGCACGCTGCTCAGCATGGCCAGGCCAGATGGGGCAACCCGCACCCGAAACGCATGCGGTCAGGAGACGATGGGCGATAAGGCATCGGGAGATCCAGGCAGGCTCAGCCGACTTCCCGATTCAGGGCTTGCCGTCCGACTTCCGAAGTCTAGCTGGCCGCGGACGGACCCTGACTTTTCCCTTTGGGCCTGGCGAGAAGAACCGCTCTCCTCACCACTCCTTTCACCTCTGCAACATCCTTCACCTCTCCATCAACACCATGGCGACAGCTCGTCGCGCAGCAAAGGCCACAGCCAGGCTTCTTTCGGACGCAGCTGCGCCCTCGTCCCTCCGCTGCGTCGTCACGCCTCGGAGATGCTTGTCCAACCTCGCCCATCGCAAGCCCGTGCCAGTGGCTCAGCTGCGGCTCGTCACCGCCGCCCCTCAAGCTACATCGCCGCCTTTGCTGCGCGCCTACAGCACGGCCGGAAACTCTTCGGCGGCCGCTCAGCCGTCGATCCTTCAGCTGTCCGAAGCCGACCACGGCAGGGCAATTGCAGAGGTCTTCAAGGAGCGCCTACCTCCCAACCATCCGAAAGTTTTCCTCGCGCGCCTTCAGGACGGGTCCTACCACTCGCTCTCCACCGTCATCCCGGCGACGGCTGAGACGCTCGAGGCCCTTTCCTTCGACTCGCCCGACCCGGCAGCCAGACATGCGTTCTGGCTCTCGTCGGCTTACCTCCTCGGCATGGCTGTCCGCGAAGTTCTCGGCGAGCGGGTCATGCTCGCCGCATCGCCGACCCTCAATGCCGCCGGAGCGGGCGGCGCAGGCTTCGCTTACGAGTACTTCCTCCGGTCAACCTCCGATCGCAACTCGGGAGAGTCGTCGTCGGCCACCGCAGCCTCGGCTCAGTCCGCTGTCATCACGCTGATCGAGTCACAGCAGGGGCATCCTAGCCTCTCCGAAGCCGAGATCAAGCAGATCGAAAAGCGGCTCGAGAAGCTCGCTTCGAGCAACCTCAAGCTGCAGCGCGACAGCGTGTCTCTTTCGGAAGCCCGGGAGCTTTTCGGTGGCAACCCCTTCAAGGCTGAGAAGGTCGAGGTCATGGCAGCCCGTCATGGCTCGGATTTGAAGATTCCCATCGTCCGGATTGGAGACAGCTTCGCCGACTTACTGCCTTCGCTCGAGGTCGGATCGGACTCAGACCTGCTCATCCCGGACTCGAAGCCGATCAAGGCGGTCAAGATCTCGGACTGGTCCGCGGCCACCTGGACGCCCTCGGACCCTTTGAGCTCCGTAGCACCCCCGGCGACGCAGGCGTTGACCCGTCTCCGCGCCGTCTCGTTCCCCTCTCCGGCCCAACTAAAGGCGCACCTCGCTGCGAAGGAAGCCGCCTTGGCCTCGGACCACCGCACCATCGGCAAGGCGCAGGCCCTCTTCCTCACGCACGACTCGTCGCCCGGCACGCCCTTTATCCTGCCGCACGGCATGCGGCTGGCGCGCAAGGTGGAGCGCGTGGTCCGCGACCTCTACGACATCCACGGCTACGACGAGGTGCAGAGCCCGCAGCTGTACCGCAGCTGGCTGTGGAAGAAGAGCGGGCACTGGGACAACTACCGAGAAGACATGTTTGCCAGCGAGGGCTACAAGGAGAGGTCCGACAGGCGGAGCGCTCTAGCCGCCGCGGCGGCGGCCGGTAGCGGCAGCATCGAGGGACGGACCTCGTGCTGCTCGATCCACGACCCCAAGGACAAAGGCAAGTCCCGAGAGACGGCGACGACGGCCGCGCAGCAGGGTGAAGCCGACGAGGATGCCGACTCGTTTGGGTTGAAGCCGATGAACTGTCCCGGCCACTGCCTCATCTTTGGCAGCCAGGAGCGCTCCTACCGCGACCTGCCAATCCGGTACGCCGAGTTCAGCCCGCTGCACCGCAACGAGGCGTCCGGGTCGCTGTCGGGCCTGACGCGGGTGCGGCGCTTCCACCAGGACGACGCGCACGTCTTTTGCCGGCCAGACCAGGTGAGCGGCGAGATTGAGTCGATGCTCACGATGCTCTCGTCGGCGTACGAGACGTTTGGGTTCCAGCAGTTCGAGCTGGTGCTCTCGACGCGCCCGGCCAACTTTATCGGGAGCGTCGCCGAGTGGGATGCGGCCGAGTCGGACCTCAAGCGCGCCCTCGACGGCAGCGGGCGCCAGTGGACGCTCAACGAGGCCGATGGCGCGTTTTACGGTCCCAAGATTGATATCCGCCTGGTTGACGCCGCGGGGCGCAAGCACCAGACTGCGACGATCCAGCTCGACTTTCAGCTGCCGCAACGCTTCGATCTGGCCTACACTGACGAGAGCGGCGGAAAGAGTCGACCCGTCATGATCCACCGCGCCATCCTCGGCAGCGTCGAGAGGTTCCTCGCCATCCTCATTGAGCAGACGAGCGGATGGTGGCCCTTCTGGCTCAGTCCGCGCCAGGCCATCGTCCTTCCCGCATCCCGCGACGAGGCCGTGGTAGAGTACGCCGCCAAGGTGCAGAGGGTACTCAGCCTCGGCTTCGACCCCACTCCCCACCCCGCCGGGCCGAAGACGACGAGAGAGAGACCGCTGCAGCGGTTCTACATCGACCTCGTCTCCAACTCCAACGACAAGCTCGCCAAACTCGTCCGTTCCGCCCAGCTGGCGCGGTACAACTACATCCTCGTCGTCGGCGAGGCTGAGAGGCAGGACGGCACCGTCAATGTCAGGATGCGCGACGATGCCAACGCGCCCGCTGGCATCAAGAGGTTGAAGGACGAGCAGCAGCGCCAGAGCGAGGGCGAGGGCGAGGGCGAGGGCGAGGGTGCGGCGCCGTCGCTCCAAGGGAGCGTCAGGCTCGAGGATCTCAGACAGGCCTTCTGCAGGCTAGACAGGAGGCAGACTTGGTGAACGCCGGCCGGCTGCCGGGAATGCTCAAGAGGCCCGGGGAAATCAATGACTCTGGCAATTGCATGTGTGTGTGCGCCCGTGTGAGGAGCCTGGTGCGAGATCTCCTTCTCGTGCAAGCGCGAGCATGGCGACCGAGAATGGGAGAGCAGTATGGGGGGTTCGAAGTCGTCCATCGATGGCCGGCGCCTCCCAGATGGGCGAGACGCGACCAGCCACGAGGACGGCCGAAGCGACGCTGGTCCTACGTCGCCACCACCTCGCCCCTGGCGGCGGCGGCGCGGACGGGCTCAAAGTAGGCGTGGTCCTGGGCCTCCTTGGCCGTGAGCCGCTCCTGGTGGTCGTACCTGAGCAGCTTGTCCAAAAAGTCGATGGCGTCGTTGGAAATGTACCGCTGGTTCTCGGAGGTGATGAAGCGGCTCCACGGCTTCCGCTGGTAGCGTCCGAGGATGTCGTCGTACTGCGGGTCGAGCTCGATGTCGTACTTTTCCAGGTAGGCGTACAGCTCGTCGGTGCCGAGCACCTTGCAGATCTTGACGAGCTGGTCGTAGTTGTCGTGGCCGTGGAAAAAGGGCTCCTTGCGGAAAATCATCGACGCAAACATGCATCCCAGCGACCACATGTCGAGCGAGTAGTCGTACTCCTGGAAGTCGACCAGCAGCTCCGGCCCCTTGAAGTAGCGCGAGGCCACGCGCACGTTGTACTCGGTGTAGGGGTGGTAGAACTCGGCCAGGCCCCAGTCAATCAGCCGCAACTTGCGCTTCTCGTGGTCAATCATGACGTTGTGCGGCTTGACGTCGCGGTGCATGATGCCTCTCGAGTGGCAGAAGTCGAGGGCCTGGCCGGGGAAGGACGGGTTGGTCACGAGTTGGAGGTGAAAAGCAAGGGCGGAGAGGGGGAGCATGTCGGGTGCCGCGCGCAAGCAGCAACTCCCCCCTTTGGCTAGGCACGCTCGTCGTACTCACCTTGAGCAGCTCAAAGATGTAGAACCGCACGTCAAAGTCGGTGAACTTGGGGTATAGGATCTTGAAGTCGGTGTTGTTGACGTACTCGGTGATGATCGACGGCGTCTTGGACTGCGGGTCGCGCACCACGTCGAGCAGGCCGACGACGTTGGGCCCGCCGGCGAGGTTCTGCAGAATCTTGATCTCGCGCTTGATCTTCTTCTTCTTGACCGGCTTCAGCACCTTGATGATGCACTTTTCCGGCAGGCCCCCCGACGTCGCAATGTTGACGCCCTCAAACACCTCCGAGTACTTGCCTCGCCCGACCTTCCGCAGCACCTCGTAGTTGTCTTGCGTGCCCCTGCGGTCGATCGAGGGTGAGGGGGTGGAAGGTGGAGGGTTACAGGCGTGTCCGGTCAGCCTTCAGTCCAACATCGCGAGCGACACATACTGGCCAGCCAGGCACCGACTCACCATTGCACCGCGAGGTTGTCTGAGAGGGGCAAACGATGAGTGGGGGGAAAGCAGAGGGAGCGAGGTCAGCCGAGAGTGCCCGTAGTGGGGCAGTACTTCGAGGCATCCGTCCGCAGCTAAAGGCGAGGCCGGCACGCGAGGCAACAGGCCATGATGCGGAGCCCCTCAGCCTCCGCTTGCGAACTGAAGCCCGGCCAGGACGGAGCGCCTTCCATGCCGCCCTGGACTCACCATAGTCCCACCACTGGCGACCAAACTTTTCGTTTGCGCCCGCATAGACCCTGGCGCAGCTCTTTCCGCCCATGATGAAGGAGTCCCGCTCTGACGGTGGCCGGGACTAGGTGCTCTGGTTCGTCGTCAATGCGCGGTTGCGAGGGCACAAGAAGCGCGCAGCCGGAGAGGGATGGATAGCCGGAAGCCTAAAGTCGACCCTGGTCCCTTGCTGTCTGTCTGCAATCTGCCCGGGCTGTCGATCCTTGCGAGAGTCGGCCGCAAAGGAGGGTGGTGATGGCAAGGTCGTGGCAGCAGCGAAGCGCGGGGAGTGGTGGTGGTGGTGATGGTGATGGTGATGGTGATGGTGATGGTGATGGTGATGGTGATGGTGGTCACAGCGGTGGAGGCGGCAGCGGCTCGGGCGTGATGGCGAGCGGCGACGATTCGGAATCTGCAAAATTGGAGAGGCCTAGCAGCAAGCACCCACCCAGCACGCGGCGGCCCACCAGACCTGGCCAGCGGCGAGCCTCAGGCGGGTGACCGACCTGGCGTGATCGTTTGAGATAGGGGAAATGTATTTGCGGTATATGTGTGCACAGTGATGCCCCTTTGACATCGAAGTCCCGGCTAGCTCAGTCGGTAGAGCGTCAGACTCTTATCCAGAGCCTCTGCGATTGTCGCAGAAATAAATCTGAATGTCGTGGGTTCGAGCCCCACGTTGGGAGATTCTTTTTTGTCCCTGACGATACCCCTCTTTTAGATACTTCCGCGCTGCGCTTCTGGAAGGTAGGCCTCAAGTGCACTCCTGTTATCGTTTCTAGTCGCTTTGACAAGTGGGGTGTCCTTGTGCACGACCAAGGACGTCGAGAGCGCAAGCGGGGCGGCGGCGTGAGATGTCCAGGTTGGGCGCTTTTTGCGGTACCGTATTCGCGCGAGTGAGGTGGCTTGCGGAAGCCGATGAAAATCCCAAATTGGGCGGGGCCAGGCGGGGCCGCGCGAAGAAGAAAAATCGGCCACGACAGGAACCGGAGCGAGGCGAGGCCAGGCGGGCCACCAGGCGAGGCGAGGCGAGGGGGGAAGAAGAAAAAACCTGGGCGCTGGGCTGGGCTGGCCTAGGCTGGGCCCAACAGGCTGAGGCCAAGGGCGGATTACCATCACACGATCACCAACGCCAAAGCAAACCAAAAGGCCTTTCTTCCGGACCGCTCGCCTCCTCTCCAACATCAGCCCTTTCTGCCCACCCTCCAGCCTGGACATTGTCACGCTCCATCTCTCCCTCGTCTTGGTTGCACGCCGGATCACGACGCTGCAAGGAGCGGACCGCCAGTCGACTCGAAGCCTTCTTTTCCGACGCTAGAGAGGCTGCGTGCTGCGTGCCATCCTCACACCGCCACCCTTGACCTTTCAGCACCTCGCTGTTCTCCTCCTCCCCCCTCCATCACCTCCTCGCCGCGCCGCGCCTCGCCATGTCCTCGAGCCGTTCCGTTGCACGCGCAGCCAGGCCGCTGCTCCAGCACTCTTCCTCGGCGCCCCGCTTGAGGTCGGCCACTCCTTCGACCTCGGCCATTGCTGGTTCTTCTAGCCCGCTCGCCTCGTCGTCGGCCGCCTCGTCGTCGGCCGCCTCGTCCTCGTCCTCATCCTCCTCCTCTGCCTCGTCGTCGGCGCTCCACACCTCGTCCCACCGCGCTGCATCACCAGCCGCCGTGGCGTCGACGGCCGTCGCGGGGGGCGCATCCTCGTCGCCCCTGGACCGCCACGCCCCCGCCTCGCACCTGCCCCAGCTCGCTCGCAAGGACGCCGCCCTCTACGCCGCGCTCCGGCCACCACCCCTCTCGGCCGTCGCCGCCCTCGCCGCGCGCCTCAACCTCCTCCCCGCATCACTCGACGCACCCACCCGCTCCCGCCGCATTCAGCTCGTCTACCAGGCCTGCACCCACCCTTCTTTCCAGGAGCTCGTCAAAAAGGCCGCAGAACAGGGCGGCCTCCATCTCGAGGTCAGCGGAGCCGGCCTCGTCCGGAAATCCCCAGAGGCCAACCCGCTCGACTCGCTCCAGTACCTGCCGCAGCAGATCGCCTCGCCCGACGCCGACGCACCCGCCGCCGCCGATGCCGGCCTCGCCAACCGCGCCCTCTCGACCGTCGGCAACTCGCTTCTCGGCATGATGGCCTCCGAGTACCTCCACCTCCGCTACCCCAACCTCCCCACCCGCGTGCTCAAGGCCGCCGTCGCAGCCTACGTCGGCCCCAGCACCCTCGCAGACGTCGCCGGCGAGATCGGCCTCGGCGGGCAGGGCATCCTCCGGTGGAACAGGCAGGCGCGCGTCCCCACCCGCTCAGCGCCCGCACCCACAAAGGGCGACATCGCCGCCAAGAGCGCGCCCAGCAGGACAAGAGGTCTGCTCAGCAGGGACGTCTCGGCCGACGCCATGCGTGCGCTCGTCGCCGTCATCTTCCAGGAGCTCGTGAGTAGGCGCAGACGGCCCCGGATGTTTTTCCCTGTCTTTCAACCACTGACCTTGCGAGACGGATGCCGCTCCCACTTTGCTTTCGTGCCCCCTTCTGTCCGACACTCTCCTCCACCCACCAGGGCCTGTCTGCGGCGCGCCACTTTATCACGACGCACTTCCTCTCGCGCAACCTGGACCTGGCGTCGCTGCTCAAGTTTGCCGACCCAAAACGCGCCCTGTCAGCGACGTGCGCCAAGCACGGCCGCGAGGCGCCCCAGTCGCGCCTGATTGCCGAGTCGGGACGGCTGAGCATCAACCCCATTTTCGTGGTGGGCGTCTACAGCGGCATGCAGAAGGTGGGCGAGGGGAGCGGCAGCTCGATCCGGATGGCAGAGTACCGCGCCGCCGAGGATGCGCTGCGCCGCCTCTTTCTCGCCCAGACGCCCATCGAGGACCTCAACCTGCCCTCGACGACCCTCGATGCCGTCTACGGTCCCAAGGACGGGAGGAAGCCTTTTATCCCGTCGTCGATCCCCGTCTATGATGGCGCGGGAAAGACTTACTCGCCCCTCCCCCTTGGTGCCTGCGAGGTCCTCGAGGCGGCTGGAAAGGACCGTCAGTAGGTGTGTCGGGCCGTAGCCACGACGTAGGGGTGAGCGGGGTTACGCGAAACGCCCTCGTTTCTCCCTCGCTCGCTCCCCCCTTGCCGATGCATGGTTTCCCTCCCTCGTCCTACCTCTCTCTCTTCGCCGACCTTGGCATGTAGTAGTCCATGCGTCCAGCATGTTTGGAATGCCACGAGTAGAAACAAAGGAGCAGTCGCAGCTGGCCGTACAATCGCCTGCTCGCTCGCTCGCTCGTCTTTCGATTTCCTCTCTCGTTGAGTAGGAGGGGGCAGCCAGAGGGCAGCGCACGGCTGTCGAGAGATGGGCGGGACAAACCTCGTCAGACGCGACGAGCACGAACAGCTCAGCTGGAAGGGAGTTAGAGGGTTATCGTTGCCGCCTATGCCGGCTCCAGGATGGTACAAACAGGGAGACGACGGCACCGTGTACAGCAGGGTCAGACGACATCGTCGAAATCCTCCTCATCATCATCGTCGTCATCGTCGTCATCGTCATCATCATCATCATCATCGTCTCCACCACCGCCACCGCCACCGCCACCGCCCGCTTTGGCCGATTGCTCGTCCCTCTTCTTCTTTTCCTCGTCCTCCTGCTGCCTCTTCCTCTGCTCCTCTTCGTCCCTCTTCCTCTCCTCCTCCTTCCTGGCGTTGCTAAACTCGGGCTTGAGGCTATAGTTGCCCACGTACGGACCGCGCTTGTGCAGGTCGGCGATGCTGCCGAGCACATCGCGCAGGTAGCTCTCGGGCTGCTGCGTCTCGGCGCGCAGCTTCTTGAGGCTCCAGTACTGCCACTTTTCAAACAGCCCAAACAGCACGTCGAGCAGCTCGTTGCGCGGGATGCGCGCAAACTTTTCCGTCCCGCCCGCTCCACCGCCGCCCGACGACGACGACGAAGAGCCCTTGGACGGCTTGGCGATCATCTGGTTGAAGCGCGACTTGCTCGCCTGGTGGCCCGAGCCCACGCCCGCGACGAGCATGTTGGCGCGCCCCGCATCCGTCTGGTCGAGCATCTTGATCGTCCGCTTGGGCTTGGACGCCTCCTCGCGCCGCTTGCGCAGCAGCTCGCGGTACTCTTCCGAGATGCCCGCTCCGGACATGAAGCCGCTGCCCAATGAGCCCGGCTTGCGGTCCGACGACGACGACGAGCTCCGGATCTGTGGCTGCAGCGAAGCCTCGTTGGTGATGGTCCCGCACAGCGCCGTCGTGCCTGCCGGATTTGGGGGTCAGGAGTAAGTGGGGCGGGCATCAGTACGGAGGGGTTCAAACGTCAGCGCAAGAGTGCTCCGTGCACAGCTGGCCGAGGGCGTCACCCAGACTCACGCCTTCCCTTGCCTCTCCTCCTTCTCGCCTCTTCCGGCGAGGCGTCGTCTTCGAGCTTGGACGTCGATGGCGTCTCTTCTTCAAACTTTTCCTTGAACGCGTACAGGTTGCGCTTGACGGTCGAGACCGAGTCCGAGGTGAGCTTGAGGTCGTAGGCGCGAGGGATCTTGTTCCACTGCGCCGTCTTGTTGGGCGCACCGTCCGAGGGGATGGCGGGCTGCGGCGGCTCGGGTAGCAGCAGCTCCATGCGCTGGTGGCCCGTGTGGTCAGGACTGAGACGGGGCCGCGAGCAGGGGGGCAAGCAGAAGAAGCGGCGTTAGCTTCGATTCTGCCGGTACTGCCTTGCGGACAGTGGCAGGAGACTCCGGTACTCACTCGTAGACCCTGACGGTGCCGAGCCTGAGGTCGTCCTTTTTGATGCTGCTCCACGCCTGGATCAGGAACTTGGGGACCTTGACGAGCCATACCTGATGCTTTGCCTCGGTGGTGTCGAGATCCTCGTCTGGCTCTGGCGAGAGGCGAGAGTTGCGGAGGGCCTGTTGGTCTGCCTCTGCGACCTCGTCGTCGCTCCTGGTGCGCTTTCCCAGCGAGGTCGACGAGGGTGCGCCGATGGCGGGCCCAGAGTCGGCGATGGGCTCGATGTCGTCCTCGTAGGCCATACTGTTTGCTGCGGCAGGTGTGATGGGATGTCCGTCGATCCGAGTATAAGAGCGCTGGCTGACGGGGAAGGGCAGAGCGGTGGCGTCGGGCAAGGATGGCGGAGTGCAGTGACGACGAGGGGTGTGGTGTGGAGCGAGAAGGCCAGGGCCAGGGTCCCGCCCGAGCTTGGCTCAACAGACTGAGGGACCGAGCGAGCGAGCGAGCGCGCGGGCGATCGGGTCCCCTTTCTGATCGGGCACCACGCTATCGGCATCGGAAAGCCAGCCCCTGGCCGGCGCGATCAGGGTCCAAGGCGGGCTGCCAGGCCCTTCCATCGGAAGCTGGTCCGAGGCTGCCGGCTGGCGCGTTTGAAACCCGTCCCCTGTCCGACGATCGCGCGCGACCGACATCGGCGTCGGCGGCGGCGGTCTCGACCTCGGCTTCTCTCGCTAATCGACCGCTCCGCTGCGAACCGTTCCGGGCCCGGGTTCAGCAAGAGGACAGGCTGGGCAGGCAAACGAGCGACACCCAACGACGCGATCGCAGCCAACCCGCGTACGTACTGCTAGCTCGATCTGCTCGCTCAGCACGGTGGTATCCCGCTCCTCATCAGTTGGTCGAGCAGTAGTAGTAGCACGCAGTAGTGTCGGACGGCCTTGCGATGGAGAGCGACAGGAAAATGAGAGAAGTCGCTCGATGCCATGACATGAACCCACCCGAGTCCCCGGGTCCCATGTGACGAGGAGGGGCGATGCTGCGGTACATACGGCAGCGCCGTACGCGCGCTCGGTCGGTCAGTCGGTCGGGCCTGCGAAGGATCGCGCAGGCTACAGTACGCGAGGCAAAGCAAGCAAGCAAGCAAGGTTCCAGAGCCAGGGTCTCGACCCACCATATCGGACGTACGTGGCCAGCTGCTGCTGCTGCTGCATGGCGATCGTAAACCTTAGCCCTGCCTGCTTGCCGGCCCAGCCAGAGCGTACCGCAACGGTACGGACAAGCTTGCGTTTAGACCTGCCAGCCGCCTGCCCCGATCCTCGTCGACCATCACCATCCGCCAGCCGGTTCGCCTCAACTGTGGCCACGCCGCTTGCGACAGGAAGCAGCAAGCCGCAGCGCCTCCTGTTCGACCGAGGCCGTACGTCCAGATGGCCGGGTGAGCATCGCAGTGACCACAACAACGGGCTGGCCTGGTTCGATCGACGGGCCGCTGCTTCGTCGGCTGGGAGAGGAAGCGCGCCCATGAGGACGTGGCATGGCAGCCAGCAGCTGATAGAGGGGAGGAGCTAGGCTGGGCGGCGGCGAGTCGGTAGGGCCATCGGCGGCCATTGCATCATAGGAGGGCCGGCCCGCGAGCCTGCCTGACGACGGCGGCGGGCCTGCCTGCCTGTCTCCACCTGCTGCCTATCTTCTTCCTGGCCTGGTGGCTGAAGTGGCCTAACCCGATCCTGCCTGCCTGCTGGTTGGGCCCTCTTGGTTTGGCCGGTGCAACGCCCTGGCCCTGGCCTGGACACGCAGGCAGGCACGCAGGGCCCTGCAGCCTACGCAAATTTTTTGAGCCTGTCCTGGCTGGCCTGGCTGCCTGGGCCGGCTCTCGCTCTCTCTTTTTTTTTCGGTTGGCTAGGCCAGCTGAGAACGCGGGGGGCGGTCTAGGCGCTGGCGTAGCCTGCCTGCTTGCCCTTGCCTGCCTGTTGAGTAGCGCTGGCTGCGGTTGGTGATGCGGCGCGTTTGCTGCTGCTGCTGTCTGTCGTCTTTGAGCGGTAGATCGCCTTGACCCGCCTTCCGCACTTACCACCATCCATCCCACGCAGGCCGCCGCAATTGCCCTGCTTGCTCCTTTCCCAAGCCCTCGCTCTTGTCGCCCCACCTCAGCTCCGCGCCTACTCTCTCTCTCTCTCTCTCTCTCTGCCTCTCGCTTTGCGGCTCGATCCGCTCGTTGACCGTTGGGTCAGTCACCCTGGCCGGCCGTCGGAAGCCGTCCGCCTGTTTGTTCCAGCATCGGCGCCTTTATTTCCTCTTGGTTCCTTGCTCGCCCTTGCTTCTCCTCCCGGGGCCGGCCACGCGGACAACACTACTCTTGTGCTTCACTGCTCCTGACCCTGCAAACGACCAGGCTAGGGCAGACCACGACGACAGACGCACGCACGCACGTACGCAGCCACCACGGCATCCCCTTGTCCGCCTGCGCCGTCGGTACACCCTCTCCCATCGCTCGCTTCTCGCCCATCGATCTCGATTTCGGCACCCTTCCGGCCTGCGGACGGATCCCGCCATCGACGCCGGCTGCTGCATCCATCAGCATCCCCTATTGATCTCGCTTCGGGTCGACAGGGCCGCTCCCGGTGTCGGCTTCCTGCACTCGCAAGTGTCGACGCCGTGTTGGCTGGGCGAATCCTGGCCCAGCTGCAGACGCACCCAGCCCTCGGCATCCCCACTTCTCTCGTTCTGCCTTCCCTGACGGCAGGTAGCAGCACCGTCCATCGACTTGATTTTCATTTACAGACAACAGACGAGGGCCAGCGAGTTGCATACAGAGCCAATAGCCTGGTCAGCACGATCTCGACGCCAGGATCGGTGTCACGGCCAAGCCGCATCGTCCCGCAACAACTGTAGCTTGGCTAGCCTGCCCAGCCAGGTGGCTCTTCCTGTCGGCGTCTTCCGACTTGGTCGGGCGTGCCCGTCTCTTGACCGCCGTTGGCGCCATCTGTACGGCATCCTCGGTTCAGAACCACTCGGTTCGCTCGTCGGGAGGGTCCGCCTACGCAGTCTGCTCTCCTGCGACACCGCCCGTTCTTCAACGCGCACCATCTTGCTTCCATCGAGCCTCCAATCGCGCCGCTGGGACGGGCCGAGCCTAGCACGCACACCATCCATCGGGGCAGTGGGAACTGGACCGACCTTGCTGCACAACTGAACGTGCTGGGCAGTCGGCAACCTTGCTCGCACTGCAGAGCTGCCGGTCTTGACGATCCAGGACAAAGACGGACCTCCGGCGAAGAAAACGGCTGACGTGTAGCGCGGCCGTGCCTCGTTGCGGCAGCAAGAGAGCGCTTGGTCGCCATGTCGGGCAGCACCTCGGCCGCCCCGCCGCCTTTTCAACCTCCCCTCGCACCTCGCTCCCCTGCCCTTGCCACCACCACCACCTCGACCCATACCGCCCCCGCCCCTGCCAATACCCCCGCGACCAACGGAGAAGCCAGCAGTAGCGCCGCGCCTGCCGCAGCTACGTCTTCCGCCGAGAGCACAGCTGGCGCCGCCGCCGTGCGCATCACCAAGTCGTCTCCCGCTTCGCCAGCACCTCTGTCCTCGGGTACACCAGCATTGCAAGGCTCCTTAGCCCCACCACCGCCAGCAGCATCGGCACCAGCATCGCCGCATTCGACGCCTCAACCGTCTTCTCCACGGCCGCCGGCGCTTGCCAATCGACCTGGCTCGGTTGCCACTCCAGCATCCACGACAGCCGCAGCGTCGGCCGCACCTGCAGCCTCACCATCGCAGCCAGCAGCTTCGACTTCCAGCTCGATGGCGGCCAGCCAGGTCGAGGCTGCGCCCCCGCCGCCTCTTCTGAACGACGCCCTTGGTGCAGCGACCATCGCACACAGCCCTGCCGCACCATCCTCGACCGCGCCACCGGCATCTTTGCCAATGGCTGCGCTCGGCGCCATGTCTGCCACCGATGCGCAGCGCTTTGGTCTCGGGCACCTGCAGGGGATGGGCCCGGGCAGCTCGTATTCATCGCCTCTGCAGGCCTTCCGACCACCCACGCATGTCTCTCAGCCCCTGCCTCCTCGCACCATCGCTCCGCAACCGCCGGCGCAGGCTGCCGCAGCGTCGAAACCCGGCGCGCAGGGCGACGTGGCTCAACCCAGCAGTGTGGTGCCGAGGTCGACGCCGACTGTCGCACCCGCAGCGACGACTGCCCCTTCCGTGCCGAAGCAAGACGCTGCCGCTGCCTCGGCCCGGACAAACTCCTCACCGGCTTCAGCGGGTGCATCGTCCTCAAATCAGAGCAGCGCTCCGTCAACCTCTGCCTATGCCGCAAGCGATGCTGCTCGGGCGATCCCGACCAATAAAAACAACCCGGCATTCCTCAACAAGCTCAGGAGGTGAGTCGAGCCGCCCAGCAGGCAGCGCTTGATCTTGCCCCTTTGGGTTGCGTCGACTGACTTGGTCATCATCTCCCCTGCCCCGATGCCTCTGCCTCGCACAGCATGGTCGACGATCCAAACACCGACGAGCTGATCCGGTGGTCGCCGGACGGCGCCTCGTTCTTCGTGCCAAACCACGTCCGCTTCGGAGACGAGGTGCTGCCGCGGTTCTTCAAGCACAACCGCTTCTCGTCGTTCGTTCGGCAGCTCAACATGTACGGCTTCCACAAGGTGCCGCACCTCCAGCAGGGAGCGCTCAAGCACGACTCGCCCACCGAGAGCGAGCTGTGGGAGTTTTCCAACCCAAACTTCCACCGCGATCACCCCGAGTGGCTTGCCCGCGTGCAGCGCAAGAAGGGTGTTCGCGACCACCATCACGACGCCGACAAGGAGAAGGAGCCGATGAGCAACGAGCTCACCCACCCCGCGTCGATGCTCAAGGGCGACTTCGGCCTCGGTGCGGCGGCAAACGGCGAGCAGGGCGCGCTGCAGCTGACGAGCGTCCTCAACGCCATCAACGCGATCAAGACGGCGCAGAATAGCATCTCGACCGACCTGCGCCACCTGCAAAACTCCAACCAGAGCCTCTGGCAAGAGGCCATCGAGAGCCGGCAGCGCGCAAAGCGGCAGCAAGAGACGATCAACAAGATCTTGCGCTTCCTCGCCGGCGTGTTCGGTGCCCAAGACGGCGAGGACGGCGCGAGCCACGCCGCCACCGTCTCGGCTGCCAAGGGTCGTGGCGGACCCGGATCCAGTGTGCGCCCGCTGCGCCCGGACCGCCTGATGATCGAAGATGGCAGAGGCGGCGGTGGCGGCCTCAACGACTTCAGTAGCATGGAGCTGCCACTCGAAGATGAAGAGATCGAGGAGCTGCCCGCCGCCATGCGGTTCTCGAACGAGGACAGCCCGAAAGGCAACTCCCCTCCGCAGAATGCCGATCCGGCATTCAGCTCTTCCTCACGCTTCACCGCTCTGGGTTCGCCGCCGAGGAAGCCGGTCAGTCTGCCCGACTTTGCGCCCGAGGCCGTTTCGACGCCGGGCGGGTCCCGCCGGCTGTCATCGCAGACAGGTAATTCAATTCTCAACGCCTTGACCTCGGGCGAAGGCAGCGCATGGCTCGCCAACCTCTTTGGCGCGGGCGCGGCAAACCAGGGCGGCACCAACTCAGCCGCCTCAACCCCGGGAGGCGGCTTTAAGCTTGACCCGCAGATGGTGGCGGCGCTGCAGCAGGCTATCGCGAGCGGCAACAGCAGCGGCGATCAGGACTACTTTGCAGGCAGCAGCACCGGCGGCAAAACCAACGGCGTCGATGACTCGCGCTTTTCTTTTGAAACGACGCCGCCGGCGAAAACGGCCGCTACATCTCGAGCCTCGGGGAAGGGCAGGAGCAAGGCCAACGGCGCGAGCAAGGGCAAGGCGCAGCAGCAGAGCAAGGCGCAAGCCAACGGCAGCCTCGAGCACGACGCTCTGTCCAAGGTCGCCGGGCTCTCGCAGGCATTGGTGCACTCGCCGTCGCGCACGCAGCCCAAGCTCGCCGGAGCGAGGTCGCAGTCCGGCTCCAACCTCCCTCTCGCCCATCACGCCGCCAGCCTTGCTCCGGACTCGTTCCTCGGCGCAGCGGACGCCGCCAACAACCAGCAGGTCGGCCTGCCGCTCGCGCGGGTCACGCGTGACATCCAGGGGACGGCGGCAGACGTCGATCAGGTGCAGAACAGCATCAACTCGCTGGTCGAGAGCCTGAAGCTAGACCCGAGTATCCTGCAGTCGTTCGCGAGCAGCAACACGGCAGCCCCCGCGGCACCCGGCGGCCCTAGCCCGGCCTCTTCGATGGGACAGACGCCAGGATTCAGCAGCGGCACCAACAACAACAACAACAACAACAACAGCGGCAACAGCCGTAACGGTGCCGACAACAAGAGCTGGACCCACCTGACTGCAAATGCCCCGGCCGTGGACCAGGCCTTCCAAGGGTTGTCGTTGCCGGATGCGTCGCAGCCGCCTTCGGCCTACGCGGCCAACGCGGTCGATGCCGGTCTAGCGCCGGCTGTTGGCGTTGACGGCGGCGTGCCTTCATCCGCCGTCGCTCCGAGCTTGAACGGCGGCGGCGGATTGGACGCCGACTTTGACGTCGACTCATTCCTCAACCAGTTTGTCGACCCCAGCCAAGCACCTGGTCAGAGCCCGGCGGCGTTCCATGCCGCCACTTCTCCGAGCAACGGCATTGGCGGGGACGGTGCTGGCGGCAGCGACAGCAGCATCTTTGGCACGGGCCTGGGCCTTGGCGGGATGCTGGACGACCACGACGGCATCGGCACCTCGCCCTCGTTTGCCTTTTCGCCGGGCACGACGGCGGCGTTCCTGCAGGGCGGGGATGCTGGCAACGGCCTGTCCGACGTGTTTGGCACCGGCGCTCCGTCGACTGCCATCAATGGAGCGGGACATGGCGGCGAGGTTACTGCAACAGCCAACACCGCGACCAACTCGACGGCTTCGTCGGCGCACTCGACGCCCGTGGTGGGCTCGTGGGGGATCGCGGAACCGACATCGTCGACGCCGCTCTCGGGCAGCGTCGGCAGTGGCGCCGCCGGACAGGCGACGCCCATGTCGATTTCGACGCCGCCTCCGTCCAACGGCGCCGGCACCGGCGTCGGTGGTCGCGCGCCGTCGTCGCTGTCGCTGAGCAACGACCGGATCAAGAAGCGGAAGTCGACGACGGTCGAGAACGCGACGAGCAGCGACGAGGTCGAGTTTGACTCGATGTCGTTCGGCGCGGCGGGCGCGGCGCGGAGCGGCAAAAAGACGAGGAAGAGCCTGAGTCCCTCGTCGGCCCGTTCGACGGCGGCGCCGTGAGGGGTGATCGGGGTGAGGCTTAAGTCGAGCTGTGTCGCGCTCTCTCGATCCGTCGCCAAGGGGAAGTCTGATGTGCGTACCATGGCGTCGAGCCCGGTGCCAGAGCAGAGCAGGGAGGTGTCCAGCAGGCATGAGGAGAGAGAGAGGGAGGAGGAGAAAGATGATATCGGTCGGGTAGCCACGAAGCTGGGGGTTTTCTTTTCCTTTCGCTTTCGCTTTTCCGTTGTCCTTGTACTTGTATGATCCGTCGCCGTGACCGATGAGATGCAGATGACGATGAAGATATCGTGCTTGTCTGTTTCTAGTCAGTCGCTTTCTGGACGCGGGTCGGGGGGGGGGGGGGGGGGGAGGGGGGAGTGCGGGCACACGCCCTCTCGATCAAAATTTGGTGGGGGACCCGGCTTGCGGCGTACGCACGTCCAGCTCGGCTCAGCTCAGCTCAGCTCAGCTCAGCTCAGCCAGGCGGCCATCATGGATGCACGTCCGCAACCCAGCCCGCCGCGCATCCCTGCCCCATCCCTCCGCATTTGCATTTTTCATCCTTCCTTGGCGCCTCTGTCAGGATCAGATCCTCGGCGCACGCGCACGAACCAAACGAGAAATCAGAGGGACAACCTCTCAAACCGCGAAACCTCCAAAGCTCGGAGGCTCGAAAGCGAGAGAGAGTAAGAGAGAACGAGAGGAAAAGGTCCATTTCAACGAGGCTCGGAGCGAGAGAAGAGAGGCGGGTGCTCGAGGGCGCCAAGGAGGTGTCTACGACGTTGTGTCAAACGAGAGGGCCACACCCGGCCGAGCAGGGCGAGAGGGGGTTGACAAAAGGAGCGAGCGACGCAGCTTAATCGGCGACGAACGAGGTGACCATGTGCATGTCGTGCGCGGACGAGATGGAAAAGAGATGTCGAGGGAGATGAGCGAGCGGAGATGGAGCGATATAATAATGGTGAGAGAGGAGATAGAGAGGCCTGGGAGGAATGGGAGCAGAGGGAGAGGATGGGTCTGGCGATCGGTGAGGCGATTGTCCAGGCGAGAGTAGGAAAGGAGGGGGAAGGGGAGGGGACCGACGCCGCTACTGGGCCGCTCCGCTTAGCGTGTCGTCAATCGCCTTGTTGATGGTCGCCTTCTTGCCCGCCAGGTCGGCGTTGGGGAAGCTCGCCGTGACGGCCTCGCGCACGCTGCGCTTGGTGACGCTCATCAGGTTGGGCTGGTTGGCCAGGTAGGTGCGCACCGCCGCCTGGAGATCCTCGTCGGACGGCTCCGCCGACTCGCTGACCGGCAGCTGCGTGGGCGCTGGCGCGAAGGGGTTGCCGCCCGTGTTGAGCGTCGAGAACGTCGACTGCGGTCGAGCCATACCCCCCTGGCCCCACATGGCGCCGCCCGTCATCTGCTGGGCCAGCGGCATCGTCGAGTTGCGGTTAAAGTCGTCGGACGCCGACGGCGAGTGGCCGCCCATGGGCGGCAGGACGGGCGGCATGCCGTACATCGACTGTGCGCCGCCGGGAGCGGGCATGCCGTACATCGAGGCCGGCGGTGGCGCGGGCCCGCCGCCCATGCCGTACATGCTGCCCATGGCGGGCATGCCGAACATCGACGGCGTTCCGGTGCCAAACTGCATCGACGGGTTGGGCTGCTGGGCAAAGTTCATCGAGCTCATCCGCGTCGGACCCTGGGACCCGCCGCCTCCGAGGCGCGAGACGCTGTTGGAGGCGGCGCGCGAGTGCGACTGCTGAATGACGTTGGTGTCGCGGAAATAGTCGGCCTCGTACGACGGGGCGCCATACTCGGAGCCGGCGGCGGATCCGGCGTAGGCGCTGCCGGCCTTGTACATGCTCGGCGGGCCGCTGTGGGGCACGGCGTAAGAGTTGCCAAACGGACCCAGGCTCTCTGCCCCCGTCATGCCGGAGCGGACCGAGGGGGCGCCGCCCTGGTCCCAGACGTCGCGCTGGTACTCGCTAAACTTCTTGACGGGGATCATCGAGTCGTCGTAGGGCTCGTCGTCGGTGCCGGCGATGATCTTCTTGGCGCCCTTTTCGCCCACGACGATACGCGTGTTGCCCCACGAGAAGTCGTCCATGTGCCAGAACGAGTAGAGGGGCAGGAAAAAGGAGAAGACGGGGTAGGCCAGGACGTAGATGACGAGCCAGCCGATGTACTGCCACTGCCGCTTGACGAGGAAGATGATGGCCTGCAGGCCGTAGACGGCGGCGATCATGGCAATCGAGATGATGGGCACGGCCGCCTTGCCGGTCGAGGTGATGACGATGAGGTAGACGAGGTAGATGGCCGTGGCGGGGAGGATGATGGTGCCGATCAGGTCGATGAAGACGATGAAGCGCATCGAAAACAGGCAGAAGCCGCAGAGCTCCTCCATGAGCACCAGCTCGGCCAGGTTGTGGATGGTCGAGTTGATCCAGCGACGTCGCTGCGAGAGCAGGACGCCGAAGCGGTCGGGCGCCGCCGTCTGCGCCTTGGCGTCCTGGATAAACTTGGTGCGGAAGGCCGGGAAGTGCTTGAGCACCAGCGTCGTCAGGTAGCGGTCCTCTCCGAGGTGGAGCAGGTTTTTCTTGTGCAAGGTGTCGACGCGGTTCTCGGAGTAGTCGTCGATGATGCGGTTCGAGATGAAGAGCGGCCGGCCCTTGTCTGAGCTGCGGATGCGGTACATCGAGAAGCATCCGGGCAGGCAGGTGACGCTGCCAAACAGCGACTCGAAGGCCTTGGACAGGTGGTGCGAGATGTAGTACTCGTACACCTGGATCATGGTCCACCACGAGCCCTCGGCGTTGTCGAGGCTCGTCTCGCCGCAGATGGCGATGATGCGCGAGTCGTCGGCGCAGACGGCGACCAGCCTGTTGAGGCCCTCCTTTTCGACCGACGTGTCAGCGTCGACCATGAGGATGTACTCGTAAAAGGCCGGGTCGATGCCGATGACGTTCTTCATCTGATGGTAGATCTCGAGCTCCAGCGGGTACATGGGGGCATCGAAGTGGACGCGGTTGAGGTAGCGCATCAGGAGGATCTGGGTGTCACGCTTGCCGCGGTTGCCGGGCCTCGACCTCTCGCTGGGGCGGCCCACCTTGACGACGACAATGTAGGGCACGACGTGACCCTCGAACTCGTAGAGGCCCGAGTAGACCTTGCCGTAGTTGAGCTGCTTGGAGCCTTCGGCGACCGACTTGAACATGAGCGGTTCGGGGTCGATCTTGGGGTCGACGCCGAGGATGTCGAGCACGATGCGCGGCGTCGGACGCTCGTTGCCGCTGCCGACAATCATGCCGTCGCAGATGAGGAAGAGGAGCTTGCGCTTGTCGTCGTACTGGAGGCCCGCCAGCGAGTCGATCGTCTTGCGCAGCTCGTCCTCGCCCTCGGTGTAGCACGGCACCTGGCAGATGACAAACTTGTCCTGCTGCTCCGGGTTGCGCTTGGTGCCCAGCTGGAGCGCCGCGACGAACTTGGCCAGGATGGTGGCGACGAGGATCAGGGAAAAGGCGAGCAGCAGGTAGTTTTGCACCTGGCACCTCGGCGTGTCGCGGAAGTCGGAGCGGCCGCGGTAGAAGACGTTGTCCAGGCAGGCCTGGGTGGCGCCGCGGTAGGTCTCGTTGAGCGCGTTCATGGCCGTGTGGAAGTCGCCGGTGATGTCCTGGCCCGCCTGGCTCTTGAACAGGTCGCTGACGCTTGAGTCGAGGAACTTGTAGGCGGCGTTGGTGCTCTGCAGCGAGAGCGTGTTCATGTAGTCGGTGAGGTCATAGAGCTTGCCGTTGACCGTGGCCCAGTCGTTGTACTCGCCGCCGCGCGAGATCTCCTTGCCCGTGTAGACGAAGTAGCCCTTTCGGTAGCGCTTGATGTAGGGGATCAGGCGGTCCGGGTACCACTGTGGGTCGGCCAGCTTCGACGACTGGTCGCCCTGCAGCCGGCCCGAGGTGTGGACCGCCTGGGTGATGGTGGGCGTGTTGTTGGCGTTGGGCTGCAGCGCCAGGCTGTCGTCGGTGACGAGCAGCTGGCAGCCGACGCTGAGCGGGACGGGGAAGTAGTTGGTGAGGTCCTGGCCCGCCAGCATCAGCATCGTCGTGTCGTCGGTCTGCAGGTTGGCAATGTCCGAGTGGTCGTTCTTGTAGAACTTGGTGAAGTCGTACACAGTGCCGTGGATGGCGGCGTAGTAGTCGTCGGTGCCCGCGTGCTGGCCCAGCTGGTCGGCGGTCCAGGCCTTGTCGTAGTCGGGGCAGAGCAGGCGGCCAAAGACGATGACGTAGAAGAGGATGACGCCGCAGATGAAGGCGATGAGGAAGCAGATGGTGAACTTTTCGCGCCACGCCATCTGGACGTCGGGCCGCTTCATGCCGCCGCAGCGCGACAGGCAGAACGACGGGATCCACCACGTCACGAGCCACGTGAGGCGGACCCACCACCGGCGGATGGCCGTCGTCGGAATCTCTTCGACGGCGTCGATGGCGCGGTTCTCGAGCGCGCCGTCCTTTTCCAGCGTGCCAATCAGGCCGGCGTTGGCCTCGCCGTAGGCGCGCTTGTCGTACTCGGAGCCCCAGCCCGCCAGGCTGTCCGGCGCGCCGCCCTTGAGCGACCGCTCGTCGCCCGGGGAGCGGAAGGGGTCCGACACGTTCGACGGCCGGCTGAGCAGCAGGTCCTCGGCGCTGGCGTCAAAGCCGGCCTTGCCGTCGGCGAGGTCCGACTCGCCATGGTTGTTGCCGACGCCGAGGAACCGGCGCTGCTGCTGCGGGTCCTTGCCGTCCGGCGGGTAGGTCGGCGATCCCGACGAGCGGATCTCGTCGTCGTCCCTGGTGCTGGCAGCGAACGTGTCCGGCTCAGTCGACCGCACCCGATCCTCGAGCCTCCTCCAGGTCGGGTACGACAGCCACACCTGGCTGTTGCCCAGCCGAAAGTCGATCCCGTCGCGCAGCGCGTTGGCGATGGCGAACGCCTGAACCTTTTCCCTTTCCTCGGAGACGCCCGCCGTCATAGCGGCCGGGATGACCCAGTCGCTGTACCGCAGGCAGAACTCGTCGTGCGGCATGCCGTAGACGAAGTCGCTCTTCTTGCGCGCCACCATCTCGGGCAGCGCAAGCGCCTTGACCTGGCTCTTGACGCGGCGGCTGTCAAAGGAGCCCGGCTGGGAGATGTCGTTGGGCCGAAGGCAGGTGACGTTCCAGATCTGCCCGGCCTGCGCCATCGTCGCGAGGATCTCGGACACGCAGGCGTTGAGCTGGCGGGTGACGCCGTAGACCTTGTGCGAGTCGAGCAGCGGCTCGACGGCCTCGTCGGGCTGCAGCGGCGTAGGTCTCCTCAACGGCCGCACCGAGACCTGGGCGGTGACGATCGTGTTGGCGTCGAGCGGGTGCGACTCGGTCGCCAGGCTTGGCCCGGCGAACAGCTTGGCGACAAACGGGTTGATCGCCCGTCGGAGCAGCTGGACGAAGGCGGAATCAAAGAGGTCGAGGTCGCGCTCGACGAAGCCATTGGCAGCGTACGAGCACGTGCCCTGGTAGTGCTTGACGCCAAAGGACGGGATCGACGCCTGCTGCGCGCCGCTGCGTGAGGCCACGTACGAGCCGTGGGCGACGTGGCGGTCGAGCTCGTTGAGCAGCGAAGCGTCGTCGTCCTCGGCGGCGGCGCCGGAGCGCACCTTGTCCACCGCCGCGTCCAGCACGCCGAGGAGGCCACCGGGCATCCGGTCGGACGAGGTTCCGACGATGCTGCCGCGCAGCAGCTCGACGCAGGCCGAGTTGTCGCTGTAGGCCACGTCCGTCGGGCAGACGCCGTCGTCGATCTGCGCCTTGGCGCGCGGGTCAGAGTCGTCAAAGGTGCGCCTCAGCGACCAGTTCTCGACGAGCTCGGCCAGCGTGTTGAAGGCAAACTCCTCGAAGCGGTCGGCCTGCTGCCCGCCCGGCGGCGCACCGCCGATGCTGCCGCTGGCGCGCGACTGGAAGCCGGGCGCATCGAGCTGAACAATGTGCGTGGGGAAGGCCTCGTCGGAGCCGGGTGCAATCTTGTGGTTGGCAGTCTCGACGACAAAGGCGAAGAGCGTGGCATAAAGGTCCCGCATCAGGCTGTCGCGCTGGGCTGCCGAGGCCTCGGGGCCGAGGAACGAGTTGACCAGCTCGCGGCGGACGAAGCGCGACTTGCTCGTCAGGGCCAGCTCGAGGTCCTCGGCGGGCACGCCGAGCAGGTCGGCCACGTCGTCGAGCACCGCGCGGTTGGTGACGTGGGACGCCTCGGCGGCCTCGTGGGGCTGCCCGAACTCGAGGTTGCCGAGGAGCAGGATGGCCGAGAGGATGGTAAAGATACCGTTGACCTGCTTCTGCTTGAATCCGAGCACCTTCATGGCGGCGCGGAGCTCGTCCATGGCGATGGCGTCGTCGCTCGAGGGCCCGCCGGGCAGGCGGTAGCAACCGGAAGAGGCGAGCAGCGCGTACGAGGTGACATCGTCGAGCTTGAGGGCGTCGCGCTCGTCGGCGCTGGCACCGGCCAGCAACTGGTAGAAGACGTGGAAGGTGCGCTCCTCGGGCGCCAGGCGGTTGACGCGGCGCTTCTCGAGGCCAAACGTCAGCACCTTGGCCGCCGAGAGGCGTGCGGACCGGTCATAGTGGAGCTCGAGGTAGCGACCGTGCCGGGAGGCGTTGCCGTTGGCCTTGGTCTTGGCGCTGCCAAACGAGTTGAGCAGCACGTCGAGGCTCTTGACCTGCTCGGCGAGGCGGAGCTCGCGCTTGCCGCTCGACGCCGAGAGGCGCAGGAGCTGCTGCGTGAAGAGCTTGGAGGTGTACGACTTGCCAGAGTCGGTCATGCCGCTGCGATGACGGGTCAGGGTCAGAAAAGAGGAGCGGGGCAGGGACCAAGCAAGGTCAGCGTCCCTGCGCTCGGTATCGAGCAAAGCGCGGGGCTCGGCGGGCGAGGCGGTCCGACTCACCCAAAGACGACGCTCTGGGACTCTTTGCTCCTCTCCATCATGTGGTAGACGCGCGCGGCGAGCTCGTAAGGGTGGGGCGGCAGCGCGTCCTCTGGGCTCTCGGCGCGCTGCTGCTCCCACTGCGCGTTCCTGTAGCACTTTGCCTTGTACTCTTCGGCGCTGGCATCGCTGAGGTTGCTGAGGGGGCGGAGCGGGTTCACGACGACGAGGGTGGTGGAAGAGAGGCGGGTGTAGGGCTGCTCGGCGCGGAAGCGCTGCTGGAGGATGAGCGAAAGGCCATCCTCGGACGGGGTGCCGTTGGCGGCCAGCAGAGAGACCAGGTCTCCACTCTGACCCGCAGAGTTGTGAGCCATGGCGGCGGCGGCGGCGGCGGACGGACGGTCAGTCGGTCAGTCGACTCGCGAGACGACGAGAGACGTCGTTTGCTCGGGTTCGGATCGATCCGCGGCTGCTGGTGGCTGCTGAACCGTGCCGGACAGAAAAGGTCAAGGGTGAAGGGGGTCGAGGATGCGCAGGTCGCAAGCCCGTCTCTGACTGTCCGAGACGCTGCGACTTGCCTGGAGGCGACGCCCGTGGAAGCCCAGATCTATCGGATCTGGTCCGCGATGGTTTGACTGGTCGGTGCGGCGATCCCGTCGAGTCGAGGTCGAATGCGGCGAGTCCGAGACAACAGGGGTGGTGGCGATGGTAACGAGGCTGGGACGGTGGCACCTAGCGGGCGGATGGTCTCCGATCTCGCCTTGGGCTGCTGCAGGCGGGCTACGCTACCCTGCGATTCGGTCTGCTGGCCGTTCGGATACGTGGCCGAGGAGGCGGAATGGAGCTGCGCTGCACTGCTGGCTGGACTCGGACCGTCTGCGGCGCCCTGGCTATGCTCTTGCTTGCTGGAGAGATGACGGAGCGGTGCACTCGTGGTCGAAAAGGGGTGGGCGAGGATGGTGATCAGCGAGAAGGAGCAACGACGGGCAGAGCAAGGGATCAGAGGGGGCCCGGGGCGGTGCCACCCACGTAGAGCGGGCAAGCAGGCAGCGGCACCAGCACCAGCCCCCAGGCCCGGCAGCTCCTCCTGTTGGAAGGGGGGCCCAGCGCACGCCAGGGTTTGGCTGGCCGGCTGGTTGGCTGGGCTCTCTGGCCCGGCCTGGCCCTGGCCTGCCTGGCGAGAAAAGCAAAGCGGTGGGCGTTTGGGCGCCGGCGGTTGTCTGATCTGTGCCCACACCCTGGCGCCCTGCCTGTGGCCGCCTGCAGAATTTTTGGAAAATCTCGAGGGCCGCCTCCGCCTGCCTGCTGGCCTTGCTTGCCCTGCCTTGCCCCCCATCTTGCTTCGCCCTCGCCCTGGCCCTCGCCGCCCTCTCCCCCGTCGGCGGCGGCCAAATTGGCCTGGCCTGCGAGTGCTGCGACGTCCAGCCCCTGCCCGCCCGCCTGATTGCCCCGGCTCTGGGCCTGGCTGGCGTGGGTGTGGGTTGGTGGGCGCGGCCCCCTTCGCCCGCCCCCTGCGGCTCGAATTTCAAGACAAAGGAGGTCCGCGCCAGACGAACGGGCAGGCAGGCAGGGAGGCGAGGCCGGCCTGGCCAGGCGAGGCGAGGCGAGGCCAGGAGGCAGAGCCAGCAGCACGAGAGACAAA